CCCACCAGCCAGCCCAGCAGCAGAGGACAACCTGGCCTGGCTGCGGGCTCACCACAGCCCAGGGGCTGCCTGCCCCAGTGCAGCAGGGACTGGCTGCTGACGGAGACAAAACAGCCTGTTTGGCACCCGTGTTCAGGGATGAAAGCAACAGCTTCCATCGTCTGCTAACGAGTGGCCATCATAAAGGTGACATCCCTCAAAATGCACGGGAGAGTAGATGGGGGACCCCCTCCAGCCCTTCCTCCAGTGCCCGACCAGCCCCGCTGGGCTGGACCGTGCCACCCACCCGCACTCCGCCAGCATCCTCAAGGCAGGAGGGATCTGGGGAAGCAAAGCTGCTGCTGTGACCTGTCCCCTCACGTGCCAGTGCCAGGCTGAGGAGCAGGTGTCCTGGAGAGACGGCTCTGTGCCCCAGCAGCTCACCCCTGGGAGGGCAGGAAGGAACAGTGGCCCCCAGCCCCCCAGCACACAGCCACCAGCCTCCACAGCCGGGAGCAGGGTACTTACCAAGTGGAAGTACTTTTCAGTGTCCAAATCCTTCACTTTGAAGTGCAAGAAAGAGAGAGAGAGAGACAGACAGACAGACAGACACACACAGGGGCTTAGTCAGGGGACCCAAACAAAAACCCGCCTTCGCAAACACCCTCCACATCAGGAGGCATTTTGCTTTCCCCAAGAACCCCAACACCAAGCTGGTGCTTCCACCCCAAGCGACCTCAGAGGTTCTGCATTGGTAGTGTTTATTGCCTTCTGGGGTGCATGGCAAGTACCTCAGGAAATACTTTAAGGACTTGAGGTCTCACAAGGAAGAGGATCGACACAGGGTCATTCCTGACCCACGATGCCCTGCAATGCCCCGCGATGCCCTGGGCCAACTCCCAGCCTGGTCATCAGGGCAGCTGCATCCCTTGGTCTGTTCTGACTCTCTGCACAGCCTGAAACCTCAAAATATGCTGGCAAGAATTGTGTACTGGGAGGGAAAGGGCTTTTCCAATCAAGTAGTTTTAGATCCTTCTTTTTTCACTTTGGCACTTCGGCAGTAGCTGCTCTCAGCATGCCCGGCCAGAGACACCCCTCTGAAAACACAAGGGTTTCTGCCCGGTCACCAGCAACAGGGGAAGAGAGGTGAGGCATTACCTCTGCTCAGCGTGGTGTCCTTCTTGTCTGACAAACTCATGGCCAGTGACGCCCCTTCGGGGATCTGCAGAGGAAGGGAAGAGCAGACATCAATGACGGGGGCCTTAATGGTGCCTCCCATGGAGTCGCTGGGAGCTGGGGGACACTGGTGCAATCACTGCTGTGTGGCTCTGCCACATCCTCTGCGCCTGCCCTGCCCCTGCTCCCCGGCTTGGAAACTGGCAGTAAGGCAGTGCCCTACATGGAAAGGGCTTTCTAAATGCAAATGCAAGACAGTGAGGTTCTCAAATCCAACGGGAATCAGGGAAATAAATGTATCCAAGATACAGTTCTGATATCGACCCCAGGTAATTCAAAGAGGAAAGAGAGTTACGCTGTGCAGATGCTGTTTTGCCTTTTCCTGGAAGGGGAGAAGGAACCCGCAGGGCCAGTGCCACCTCTCTGTGCTGCGGCTCTGGCTCTCGGTGCAGCGGGGCACGGTGCCAGCAGTGGGGCTCTGCGTCACGGCTGTTACACAAATAATAATATTAATAAGCACTCAGCTTAGTTTTTGATTTTCCATGCACTGTTACAGACCAGTGAAGATTATGCTCCCAGGCATACCAGGAAATATGGAAATCAAATAAGAATTTCTGGTTTCATTTAATTTTAAGAGGAATAATGGTCACGAAAACGATTTGATTCGCCACATTTCCTCACATTTTTGGCCTCCACTCCTCGATGGCATCCCCAGCCCCTGCTCTCAGGGCAGGCAGCAACAATTGCGTCGGTGATTTCAGCAGCACAGACCAAGAGCAGAGTGATACTAATCAGCCAAGCTGGTGGCCGTTGGGAATAGCTTTTTTCCCTCCTCTTTCTGTTGTCAGTAATAACTTGTTTTGCATGAAGAGTGTTTAATTAGTTTCAGTGTGTTGCAATATTAACAAGCTTCTCGCCAGGGCAGATGTCTATTCCCCGGAAGCTCTCACGGAGCTATGGCAACCTCCCTGCTTGTTCCTGATAATCCTGTTTTTGGAAGGGGAACCTCAGCTCACCCCCGAGGCCAGCCAGGCTCCGAGGAAGCAAAGCTTTCCTGCAGCACCAGCAGGTTTACCTTGTAATGTGCTAATGTGTTGAGTTTCTTCCTGCCATCCTCCACCACGGAGGTGTCGTCCAGGTCCCGGAGGATGTAGCTGTCGGTGCTGGTGGCGAACCACTCTGAACGGAGAGGAGGGAGCAGTGAGAGGTCAGCACGAAGGAGGCACGTGCAGCGGGGCCTGAGGCTCCGGGGATGGGCCACACAGCGCTGAGGGGCTGCACTGCCCCACTGCCAAGGCCTCCGAGCTCTGTGAAACCAGAGCAGATGTTGAGCAATGGCCTCCAGGGTTAGTCCCTGGAGCCGGGATTTCCAGGCTAGAGCAGCCCTGGATACAGCTGGGAGAGGCGACGGAGGCTCTGCTTGGAGAGACAGGAAAGAGCAGGTCTCCCTTATCCCCTTTTGCCCCGAGGGGTGTGTGGGACCTGCCTCATGGAGCACCAGGCAGGTGAGATGCCCCATGGCCTGCATGTGGCCACCAAAGGTCAGTGGTGGCTCCCCACAGGGCACAGCTGGTCATGCATCTGTGACTGGGAGACATGCCACATGCGTCAGCAGAAAGAAGTGGGGCCCTGTCACTGCTCCAGCCCAGGGACATCTTCTGCCGAGACTCCCTCTGGCACTGACCAGGCAGAGCGTCACACCTTGCGACTGCTGCCAGCCAGGGTGCGTCTCCATGGCCCGCTGCGTGGCACCCAGGCACCACAGACAGTGTGGGTCTCTCTTACCAGCACTGGGCTTGGATCCTTCTTAAATTTTGGGAGAAGGAGTTGGCCACTGGGTAGGTAAATGACAGATCAGACTCTATGGCCGGACAGGAGTCCATGGGCTCAATTATAGCTCCTCATAGAGAAACATGTATGAACAAGCCATCTGTGGGCTCAGGGTGTTTTAGAGGGCACCTGTTCTGGAGTTAAGATTATAGGCTTTAAAGGGTGCAAGTCCAAGCATCCCTCTGCTCCACTTGGGCTTTCCTAAAGTTTCCTTCCAGTTATGTGGTTCTCTCCTGCCTACCAGCATCTGGTCCCATCACTCATTCCTGAAGACCATCCTCAGGAAAAGGCTGCCTTGATGACTGCCCTCTTGCCAGTGCTGCTTCACCCACTGCCCTCTAACAAGCACCAAGAGATACCATGCAACATCGGGTGCTTCGTCTGGCTTTAAGGACTGGCTGGTCCAACACATCTGGTCCTTACCAAGGTCGACATCTTCCACCCTTGGCCACTGGGAGTAGGGGACGTTCTTGCAGAAAGCCTCCAGAATCTTCTCCTTCACTTGGCTGAGCGTGTCTGTGTCCATGGCCCTGACGCTCAGGGAGTCCATCCCACAGCCTTGGAAGGAGACGTTGAGGTTCTGCAGGCAGAGGCCAGGTTAGGGATGAGGGGGGTGACCCACCCAGTTCTGTGGGCTCCCAAGGACACATGGAGGCTGCAGTGCCCACACGGCTCTCACTGGTGCACTCCGGGTCCCACGCTGCTGGAAATCAGGCTGAACAAACGCGGTTATCTACACTTCACTGCTGGTGAGAGGTGCTGATTTATAGCCCCCAGAGGCTGAAGGCCCTGGGTTGTTGATGGAGCCAGGAGGACACAGGGAATGACCCTACAACCTCCTCTCAGGCTGCCTTGCTAATGGGCCTCACTCCTGACGTGCAAAGACCACCTTGGGGATGGGAGGAAAGGCCAGCCCCATCACCAGTCATGTCCTCAGCTTCTTGGCTCCGACCGGTGACTGATGGGACGCCAAGGCTCACTGCTCTGCCTCTCCCTGATGCAACGGTCTGAGCTCCTTTGTTCAAACAAGCTTTAAATGCAACGCGGGCTGGCTTTCTGCAACCCCAGATCCACCACCAGCACCACCCAATAACCTGCTCAAGAACGTACTGAACAGCAGGACAGGGCAGGAAGCTGCCAGGAGCCTTGCTTGTGTGTAAGCACAGCTGCCTCTTAGAAGGACACCTGGCACAGGTGAGCGTTACTGCTGGGATTTCCACAGCCTGGAGATTCCTCTGCAAACGCTGCTTTTAAGTTTCAGGATACAGGGCCAGCATCCTCGACTATGAGAACAATGTGAATGCACAGGTGAAGTCCAATTTTCTCCATAGCACTAAATAAAGATGTTTTTTCACACTGGATGCTGTGCAGGTGTTTTAAAGCAGAGGTTCAGCTACCAGCTATGTGGGGGATTGCTGGGGAGTTAGCACTAACTGCATTGCTCTCCCTCCCCCAGCATACCCTGTTCACTTTTGTTTCTCTTCTTGCAAACAAAGCAGCCACACTTCCCTGCTCAGACTTATGAAGTTACCATTTCTGCCGAGAAAGCTAATACTGTGCGCCCCGCTGCTAACCCCTCTCGGTCTTCACTGTAAATTTACAGGTCAATTGGTAACAGGAATCTGCAGAGGATGTGGAGCTTGAACCTGCTCTGAGTTATGGTGATGCACATCTTGGGTAACCCACTGACTTCAGTGAAGCTGCTCCAGATTTATGCCAGGTAATTGAAAACAGGATTTGACCCAGGCTCTGGAAAGGCGTCTGCCGAATTCTGTGTCAGGCACTGGAGGGAACCGAGCCCTTCACACGCACAGCCCTGGTCTGCCCTGCTCCCACAGGAGGCATTTTGCAGAACCGCTTCTCAGCACCACTCCTGTAACACCCTGGGCAAAGCCCTCAGCCCGGGACTCAGGTTCGCAGCCAGCACCTTCCCACTGCTAGTGAAGATGACCTTTTGCTAGGAACAGTAAACCTGTGGCTTTAACTCTCTGAATATGGCAGAACAAACTTTCTTACCTCCCTCTACCCCTCATCTGAGGCACTTAGGTGACCCACCAGGCAGTTACTATGAGCCTTGTCCTGCAGTCGTGTGCTTAGGCAGCAGCAAGGTGACTGTGCAGGTGTGTGATTTATGTGGTTATTGCACCTGCATGGGCACCGAATCAGCCGCTTGCACAACCACCCCGCCGGGGTACACGTCCATCAGACCCGGGGGTGTAGGTACTCACCCTTGGCTTTGCCTCGATGTTCTCCCTCAGGAGCCACTCCTCATTGAGGGTGTACCTGGCCTTCCCCGTGATGGCATCGATGGACCCTTTGTTAATCTGCTGTTTGATTGCACAGATCAACAGGAAGAAGGGCTCTCCGACCGTCTCCTGGGGGAAGGAAAGAAGACCAAGTAAGTAACAGGACATGGTGGCCATGACCCCTTCCAGTGGCATGGCGGGGATGGGCTCCACATGGGCACATAGGAAAAATTTCTTCACCAAAAGGGCTGTCAAGCACTGGAACAGGCTGCCCAGGGAGGTGGTTGAGTCACCGTCCCTGGAGGTATTTAAAAGACATGTACATGGGGTGCTTAGAGACACGGTTTAGTGGGGGACTTGGCAGTGCTTTGTTTATAGCTGGACTTGACGATCTGAAAGGTTTTTTCCCAACCAAAACAATTCTATAATTCTATGACACTGAAGATGCCTCCGCACATTGGGGAGCGGGACTGGTCCATGCCAGAACTGCTGGCGGGTGCTTGGTGCCATCACGTCCCCCCCAGCTCCTGCCAGCATCTCTCCGAGGCTGCTCAGAAGTTTTCAGACTTGTGGCAACGTGACAGCGCAGATGGGAAAGAGGACATAACAGCTGACAACAGCCACCAGCGATTTTCGGGGAGAGTGAGCTGTGATTGTCAGCATCAACATACCCCATCCAACTTCTACAGCAAGTCCTGTCGGGCTGTGGATTGCCACTAACCGGCTGCGCCAGCATTTGCTGTCTCCCGGGCAGAGTGCTCGGGTGCTGCTCAGAAGGCAGGGGCATATGCGGAGCTGTGCTGAGTGGGTATGTACATGCACAATGCTCAGCAAAATACAAATGTGCATTAATTTACATGTGAAATTACACATGAACTTCAGTGAGAATCTGGCATACTCTGGTACGGAGATTTTCTTGCAATCTGACAGAGTGTAGACTGTACAACATATGCACTCATCAGGCTAAGGATGGGGCTGATGTACCCAAAAATCCAGGTCTACAGAGATATTTGGGTGCTCAGCTTTCTCATGCAGGTATTGGCTGAACCCCTGGTTTGCCACTAAAATCCAGGGAAGCGAGCCCACTGCGTGTGCCTGTGGCTCTGGGAACTAGCACTCATACTTCTCATACCACAGTGGAGCCCTGATCACAGCGCAGCAGAAAGGATCAAGGTCAACAAGCAGTTCCCATGCGACAGCAAGCAAATAGACCATTTAACTCCTTACATTCATCAAACTTCATGTTACAGGAGAGAGGTGAATTGTGACGCTGCTGCAATGAAAACAAAAAATGTAACAGGGACCAGCTATTTGCGACACGGTTCAGCTATGTGGCTTAATGCCAGATTTCCAATCCACTTCTGTCTGCTACCCTGATGTGCAAGTAAAACATAAGCTATTTTTCTTAAGAAACTTTTCAGTACTGGAGTACATCCCATTCTCCCTAATGTTCATGTGCAATTTCCTTCCAACGAGGCAAGTGCAAATTATTGCACATTTATGTACTCTCTGAGCATCACACACCCCCCGCACAAACATTCCTGCCATCTGAAATCCTACTCAAGACAACAGATATCAAATGATTTGGTATTTCTCAGCTAGGAGCTGCTAAATCCTGTTCAATCTGCTTCTTAATTAAGACTTGCTGATTCTTTTATTCTAATTGGCCCTATAATTGCTAAAGCAATTAGTTTGATGTCAATTTTGATTCGGCTGCATTCCGCACAGTTGACGATAAGACACTACAGCAGGGCTGGAGGTGGGCATGCACCATCTGTGCCAACGGTGCACCCGCTTTATTTCCTGAGGGCAACTTTTTTTATGAACACAGGGAAGCTCCTTGGGCCTTCTGCTGGGGCTTAACAATTTCCTGCAATGCTCCTTCTGAGCACGCAGCAGAAACCAGGCTCAGCAGCAGAGCTGCTGGTGCTGGGAATGAAGGAAAGCACAGCATCCAGATAGCAGGGAGGTGGGAAGTTCTGGGCACATGGAGAAGTTGAGGATTGCGAACAGAGCAGAGAAAGTGTCAGAAGATATAAAGAAGAGCTCGTTTCTGAGAGAAAAGCAGGAGTACGAGATAACAAGCAGGGGGATGACACTGACAGGAGATATCCCCAGGCTGCGGCACCCGCTGTCCCATAACGTGAACCATGGAGAGCTGCCAAGCTGACCCTACGTGAGAAGTGCTGGCAGATCCCGACGACGGCCCTGCTACGAACAGGAACTCTGTTAGGTCGCATGTGCACGAGTGCATGGCAGGGATGAACCCAAGGCCAAATTCAGCACCAGGTTTTGGAGCCGGCTCTGTCCACCCACGGGAAGCTGTGGCCCTGGCCGTGGCTCCAGCCACAGAGGGACAGGAGGGAGCTGCCAACGGCTAAGCGGCTGCCCCCAAAAACCTTAAAAAAGTGTGAGTCCTGCTGATACAGGAGCTCTTTACAACTTGATAGCAGCCCAGGCTGCACAGGTCAGGGCTGAACTGTGTGGGACCTTCCCACACAACGGGCAAAGCTGCACTGGAAGGGGCGGCCGGGGAAGCGGAGGAGCCAGCGTCCCGCACCCACGCAGCGTGCGTGGGACCGGCCGCACTGGAAATAATGACAGCGCTCCGCCGGCGAGATGTTATTTCTGTTTGGCTTTTTGGCTTTCAGGCTCAGGAACCATGGGATGCTATGGAAATCTGCAAAAGTGCTAATCACACAGCAAATTTCAAAGAGGGGAAAAAAGGGCTGGCAGGCAGGGACTAGAGATAAAATGGCAAACTTGGAAACCTCAAGCATTGTTCGGAAAACTCATCTGGAAATGAATCAAAACTGTCTTTGGATTTGGCTAGTTGGGAGAAAGGAAGTTTAACTAGAAGAGATCAGTGCTGATTCAGGACAAAAAAATACTTAAAAAAAACACAGTCTGGGGCCTTTTTTCCTCCTATTGTGAATGTATTTTAATGAGACTTGATTTTCATTTTTGACTGAACTGTTATGGGCTCTTAAAGCTACCCAGGGCACTGAAATAACTGTACAGTAATGGAAAGCACAGTTCAGGCTGGCATTACTTGAACTGCTTCACGCACGACGAGTGTGGGAGGGCTTGGTTTTTATATGCTTGGGAAAAAAGGGTTTAGAGCACAGACTGGATTCACATGTTGCTGCTCTATTAACAAGGCTGACAAGTCATTAGAGATGTCCTCCCAGGAACATGTTACAGTCATTTCCAAAATGTCTTCGTGAGGCTGGGGTGGGAAAAGCACAGAAAACAGCTGCTTATCCCAAGTGCCTGCTAATTTTGGGAAGTTTATCTATTCACATTCTGTGAAGAACCAAACCTCAGCTCCATCCCCCATGCAAAACTTCAGGAAGCTTGGACCCAGACCTAAAAGCTGAATTCCTGGACCTTAATTTTCTTTAAATTCCTGGTGCCCTGGTCCTGTTAGGAGCCAGACCAAATGGTACCACAGTATCTCATGGGGAAGGCTCTTTTTCAGCATTTTACACCAAAGCTGTATCAGAAAATAGAGACATGGACTGTTTTATCTATGATTCTCACTCAGTTCTGCAGAAACACAAGTCTGCCCTGATTGTGCAAATGCTGCACGTTTCCTCTGCCCCAAGCAGCAAGCCTCCTGCCAGCTCGTCATCAGCCCCCCTGCACTCCCCGAGCAAACCTCCCCGTCACAGTGGTGACTCTGTTGCCTTCAGGTGCCCTCCACACGTCCAGACCAGGAGCGACTGTGGCCTGCAACTCCTTCCCAGCTGAAGACAGCTCCTTCAAATCATTTCCCCCCAAAACACAAATTAATACGAAACAAATGTCTCGAGCATGTAGCGTTGACTTACAAGGGAAAATACAAGCACTTGGAATTTTTCCACTGCACAACGGCAGAGACCTTTGCAACAGCTGTTTCGAATAGACGTTGTGATTAATGGGGATAATTCAGGAATGAAAACCAGACCCACCGTCACACGTCTGACAGACCAGTGCTACAGGCAGGCGGGCAGTCTTTTAACCAAGAAATGCCTCTCTGAAGGCAACAGAGTTTGATCCAGAGGAACGCCAGGCACATGGGAGGCATTTGACTATCACTAGTATTTAAATCACAGCCCTGAGCTGACACCAGCCCACGTGTAAGGAGGTGCCGTCCGTCTGGCTGCAGCAGCTCTGTGCTCTTTTGGGCAGCAGGGAAGGTCCCAGCTCTGCCGATCCGGACTGAAAGCCCCGTCCCTTCGCACAGCTGAGCCCATGGCCACCTGGGACAGTCAAAGGGCCTCTCTGGACATTTCTGTCTGATCAATTCTATCCCTCCTCTGATCAGGTCCCCCACCCTCACTGTGGAGCACGAGGGTCTCTTTAAAATCAACTCTTTATTGCGCTCCAGAATGGAAACCATTTGCTTTTCAGAGGTGGGAAACGGGCTGCAGTGGGAAGTGCAGTGATGGTCTTCACTGCCACAGCTTCGGGCTGAGCACGGGAAGCAAGGAGGGGACTGCAAACCCAGCATGCAATGTTAGCCCCTGCTCAGGACACATCTTCTGCAGGAGGATGGAAATGCAGGTTCAGCTGGTGGCCCATCACCTCTGCAAAGGGCCACTGCCACCCCGCAGATCCACTCCATCCATACCCCGACCTTCCTCTTCCCTTTGCAGGGTGGGCCAGGGCAGCACGGCAAAGGAAAGCCAGCTCGCAGCTTGCACCAGCGTTGTCTGCCGCAGGGACAGCCACCGGCCCCGCCATGGACCCTGCACAAGCCTGCGGTGACGGGCACCTCCCTGCCAGGCCCCCCAGGGAAGGGCCACACGCTGGCACTCAGGAGCTCCTCACCATTAATTAGCTATGTAACACGGCCAAGTCTTCAGGCCCGCGTGATAAGACTCGACTTTCCTCTTTCCCCCCCGCCCCAAGAAAGTCTTCTTGCACAATGTCCATTTTTAGCACAAACTGGAGTTGGATCAGATGCCTCACATGTGGTCTCCACTCTCCAAAAGGAGAGATCAGCACTTTTTTTTCTCCTGTTTAACTACAGGCACAAAAAACTGAAGATTAAGAAAAAAATTCACTAATTCATTCATTTCTGCTCTTACAGGCTGGATAGTCGTGCTGCATTGGCACAGCCATCTTCATTCGCTCCTGCAACTTTTCTTTCATTATACTGGCTAATTATGTGAGCTAAAATGAAAGATTATGAACTACAAAACCACAGGCTTTAGGACAAAAAGTGATCATCAGCTGGGATCAGAAGACATTATGATATGTATGAGGACAATACAGCATTGCTTCTGTGGTTATAGCAAACACTTTGGGAAAAGAGATTTTTCAAAGGCTTTTTCCAGGCTCTCCCCTGTGGGTATAATGGGGTGTCCTCCAATTAACTGCTGTGGAATCAATTAAGTTATTGCTCAATTCTTCTGGGAAATTCCAACCAGAGCTGGCAAACATTGGAGATAAAGCATTGAGCAGATGGACTGCTGATATGCTCTGAGATGCCAAAGATACTCTTTTTTGTTATCACCAGAAGACAATCAGGCTTCTGGGACAGACATCCCCCTGCATCTCCTGCTAAGATCTGTCCATCCAGTGTGGAACCATGAGGACACCTCCCACATGAGGAGCCCCACATACCAACGGGCACCGGCACAGAGCAGCCCCCTGCCCCAGTGCCACCGTCCCCCTGACAGCCACAGCTGAGGCTCTCACACTCCAGACAGGCAACACTGAACTGGTTGGCGACCATCAGTACGGCTACGTGAGCTGGTCAGAGAACACAACAAATAACTGGAACGGCTTCCAAAACCTCAAGCTATTCTGGTTGTTTTCCAGCTCCCCCACCCCACAGTTCTCTTCTCAAGTGTGGCAAAATCGTCAGCTCGTGCTCTGGCCTTCGGAAAGGTCTGCTACGAAGTCTGACCTCACCAAATCCCCAGCCAGAAGCAGAGAAACAACTGAACTTAAGGTTGTTTTTCCACACTTGAACCATTCAACACACTGGAGTTTGTCAACCATTAGTGACTGTTCCAGTGACCATGCTGGCAGGTATTCAGGTCCTCAGCTGTCCCACCACCCCTCTACCACTGCCCACAGCGCTGAACCCGCACCCACAGTAGCAGTGATCTGGTTCTCTTACTCTGAGATAGCTGTACATGCAGATTGACATCCAGTTGGTGAGCATCTTCTCTACCACGGATTCTGTTCTCCTCAGCATCAGCTTGGGGTTTTTGGAAGCTGAAGCATCTATTAGATCCACCAAAAGGTCCTTCATGATGCTGGTGTAGTACTCCAGTTTCCCATGCAATGCAATAGTAAGCAGGGAGGCCAGGTTACATCTGAAACACAGAACTAGGACTCAAGCACCAATCCAACAAGACTAAACTGTCGACTGGCATAAAAACCCCCTCAAACACAAAGGCAGTATTTCAGTCCATTTTGATAAGCCTTCTCAACAGTGTTAAAACTTGAAACCCTCTTTCAGTGCTGCAGGACCTTGGGTCAGTTTGCACCCTCTAGCTGGTAAAGCAAGAGTTCAGGGATACGAACAGTCGTAAGCAAGTCACTCATTGTACCTCTTAGTGCTCGTCAGCTAACAGAGGTTTATGGCCGTCCGTTTCTAATAGAAAAGTGGGAGGTAACTGTAGCTCAACCTTGAACTGAAATACACAGCTCCAGACATGGGCTGGATTGCTTATAGGTTAGGAATAAATCAGCCTCCTCCAGCTGCCCAGGTCTTTGGTTCTGAAGCTCATACCTGTCTCTAACAGCAAAGTCCTTCTGTTGCTCGAGAGCATGGACAAACACGATGAGAAAGTGCTTGTTGTTGAGTAAGGTGGAGAACAGCGAGATTCCTTCTTCCATGTTGGGTCTGCAGCTTTCAGGGATCTAAAGAAAAATTTAGAAAGGAGAATGAGAAAAGCCTTGCTTGTTGTTTTCCTCCAGCTTTTACCCTTCCTGACTGCAAGGATGTCCCTGCTGAATACAGAGGTACTGAGCTGAAGACCCCTTACTCCCTCTGCTCAATACAAGTCAGCTGCATGCCTTCCCAGCGAGGGCATGACTGCCTCTGGGGTTGTATCAGAAGCAGCTTGGCCAGTGGAGCAGTGGCAGTGGCCATTCTTTGCTGCTCAGCACTTGAGAGGCTACCTGGAGTACCATGGTCAGTTTTGAGCTCCCCGCCACAAAATGGACATTGGCAAATCAGAGCAAGTGCAGCTGAGAGCTGCCAAAACAATTAGTGGGTGTAGAAGGAGAGGAGGAGAGGGCTGGGTTTGGTCAGTCTGAAGAAGAAGTGGTAAGGGGAGATCTTACTGCAGCCTTCAGCTGCCCCATAGGAGGGCAGAGAGGACAGAGCCAGGATCTTCTCTGCCAGCACAGTGCTAGGATGAGAGGTAAGGAACACGAGATGGAGCATGGGACACTGATTAAATATAAGGAAGGAAATTTTCACCTTTAAGGTGGTTGGACACTGGAACGGGGCCCCAATCCTTGAAGATATTTGACACAGCTGGACAGGGCCCCCAGCATCCCCATCTAGTTGGAGCTGCTTTAAGCAGATCTCCCTTCCAACCTAAGTGACTCTGATTCTTTGGTTCCTACTTCTTGTTCACATGACACCCAGCTCCAGGACAACAGCAGCTTTTACCAAATCTCTGCTCGGGAGGAATTGCATTTATATTGAACTGCGTATGGGACTAAAGTGACATGCAGTATGATACGCCCAGGAAGAAAAGCCCACCACAGGGCCGGGGAGGATCTCAGGACAATGTGTCTTCATCCAAGAGCAGATCCATAGATCTGCGTTCTCCAGTCAGCCAAAGCTGATCTGATGACGGTATGTGTTAATTGTTTTGAGTGATCAAGCATCCCCCACGAACCAAAAGAAAACACATGGCATTGTCCACACACTTGAGTATGGTTAGCAGCCACTCAAAAGCATTTGTTTTCTTAGTGGGTTACTCACCTTCCATTCCCCCACTAGGAGTGGATGAGTTTCCTGGACCTGGGAGCCCACCTGGGAGCTGAGCTGCTGGGATGGCAGGATGTAGCACTCCTCATAGAGCGAAGAACACTGCAACCAAGCACAGCGTTAGGGGAGGGCAGCTGCACCGGCCGGGGACCTCCTCCTTTGCCACCCACCGCAAAGGAACGAGACAGAGAGACATGTCAGTGGGACTGAAGACCACCCATTATGAAGAAACGCACCGGTACGGTTTACAAAGCCTTTAAACACTTTGCAAGAGCCCCCTGAATGAGCAAACGCCACGAGAAGGGGGGAGGCAGATGTCTGCGCAGACACAATGCTTTTAGAGTAGGAAGACTGCAAATAGACTAATTTGACAGCTAGAAAAATCCCAGAAGAGAAAGCATTATAGAAGACTAAGTCAAAATAGAGGAGTACTGGGTGTTTTAACATATGTAACTTTTGAAACAGATGGGAAAAATGTATAAATCTGTAACATTCATATAGTAGCCTGAATCTTAAAGACTCCAGTGTGCAGATACATAGAGACTGGATAACTTAAAAACCTGAGTCCTAACTACTAATGAAACACTCTGCAGTCATAAATCATCATCTCACTCCTCACCTCTGAAATGCAACTGCCTCAGGGGTGAAATACAGCCGCTGTTAAGGGCGCACAGCAACACAGCGGAGCAGCCGGTGATGGGAATTACGGCACCGGCGCGTCTGGTGTGGCCCTGGAGGAGGACTCTGGGCAGACAGACTGGGCGCCCACAGGGCATCTTACTGGGAGGACCATGTGCCCAGCCTTTGACAGAGAGGAGAGAAAGAGGGAGACAGAGACACTGAAGGAGCTCCTGAGGATCAGCATTGCAGCTGGGAAAGCTCAGCTGTGTGGAACAAAAAGCCCCCTCTCCCCGAAAGCTGACGGCAGATAAGTCCTTCAGCCACCCCTCAGCCTCAGCTCTGCTGAACGGGGTGAGGTGACACTGGGGAGAAGGGGGAGTCCCAGCACTTTCGGCTCCTGTGAGAGACAGAGTGCTTTCAGAAGAGAGTGTACAATGGCATCAAAGGGCCGAGCCAGAGGGACGGTGCCGCTGCTGGGCTCCTATCGTGTGCAAGCAAGCCTGACCTTACTTCACACCCACTTCTGACAGTAATTGAGGCTGAAATATGACAACTAAATATGTAACAGTGGAATTATTTTGTTACAGTGTAATAACCCTTAAGCAGAGCCCTGATCTGGTCAGGAAGGCTCTGGGAGCAAGGAGGTACCTATGACACACAGTATTGCCTTACTTTGGGGAAGAATGTCCGGGTGACAAAGTGCTTGTACTCCAGGAACGGGATCCCCTGGCTGCGGTTTAACTCCTTGGTCAGGTCTGTCATGTCTGTCTGCAGTTCTGCAAAACCTTGCACAAAGAGACCACAGATGGTAAGAGCTCCGACACTCTACCAGCTGAGACAGTAGGCGGGCTGGTGCTGGAAAACGTGGCACGTCTCATCTCTGCCTCCCCGAGCGGGCTGAAGCAGTGTTTTCTCAAGGAGCAGCAGGTTAGTGTCAGGGTTTAACCATCAGCACTACACATCACACCCGCAGCTGGACAGAGAGGACGTTTCTCCTGCCTCCAGACCAGCCCCCAGCCGCTTCCGCAGGGGCAGGACCTCAGCCCGACATGCACCGCCGGGGACAGCAGACGCAGATGCTCGCATGGCCTCTCCCATTGCTCTAGCAGACCCATGCTGCAATTTTTGTTGCACCCAATCATAAAGCACACTAAAGATTAGTGTGGCCTTCAAGCAATGACATGGCCTAGGGCCATTAACCCCGAGACAGGAAAATCAGTGGCTGGCCCAAGCCAGGCAGCACAACAGTGGCAGAGCCACACACTTCCAGCCACTGAGCCTTATTCACACACCCTGCCAAAGCCCTAAGGCGGTGACAGAAATTCTCCTATAAATAATTCCATAAACTTCTACAGAGTAGAAGGTGAATGGCTTCAACCTTGCTATTCCAGCATCTCCCTCCTAGTCCTGGCTCCTCCTCAGGGCCCAGCACGGTGACTTACCTTTGCGGATTTCCTCCCGTATCTGCGACTCCATCTCCTCCATCTGGAGCAGGGTTTTCTGCCAGTAGCGCTCTGCTCTGCGGCTCTTTGTGCAAAACACAAAGAGGGCTGGAAAAGAGGAAAGGAACAAGCCTTTTGGACGAGGGCTTAGGAGCAGCCGCAGCTGGGATCAGAGTGGTCCTCTGCTGACATGGGTGCAGAAAGCTAAACTCAGTGTTGGTTTAACACCTACAACAAGACTGGTATCTGATCAGGCAGTTGTCGATTCTTTGTAAATAAGTAAAACCAGCTGGAATTTAATGATCTTGCTGTAACTGTCATCTTCAGTTTAGGTCTGGGCTGTCTATATTCAGCTTAACTGCATATTAATGTATTCCAGATGATTAATGAATACAGATTTTAAGATGTTTACCACCTGTATTACCATGCTCATGTCTGACAGTCTTCCAGTGCCTTCAGAAATACATTTCTAACGACGGGTGGGGCATTTAATAAATAGTGTGCATTATAACCTTTGTTAAAAATAAATTAAATCCCTATTAGAAACACCTCATTTGCTGTGAACTGACAGGTTTCTCACTGCACAGTCATTCTGGGCATGCAATGAGAAGACAGCCTAGCCAGAGGACACAGGTGTGTTGCACAGCTTCTAGTGAGGTGAGCAAACTGCTGCGTCTGCTCTAGACCTGCCGCTAAGGACGCTCGCTCTGTTCCTCACGCTCTTTGACAGGCGCCTGTCTCTGGCTGTTACTGACGACAGGACCTCGGGTTGGGTCGACCTTTGGGATGGGCTGGGACAGTCATGCCTGTGAGTGAGCCCTGTTCAAGTCAGTACAAGTCCAGGACCAGTTTCTCACACCCTTTATTTTGTACTATAGTAGCTACTAAGTGTTTGGGGGGAAAGGGTAAGTTATAGATGACACAGGTTCAAGTAACAGAGCTGAACTACAGATTCATCTTAACTGCATATTAATGTATTCCACATGATTAATGAATACAGATGATTAATGAATACAGCAAATGCTGCAGGAAGCTTTGATCCTGGGTACTGGTTGGTCCTCCACAAAGTAGAGGTGGCTACTTGCTGCACCCAGACCAGTTTCAGATACTGTGTGACTGCAGCACTCAGAGGTTTCCTAATGTGTGAGTGAGTCATCTTCATCCCTCCACAGGCAATGAGAAAAAAAACCTCAGCCCAGCCTGGAAACTCATTGTTCTGTTCCCTTACCTACGACAGAGAGGACCAGCAAGATGCTGCAGATGACAATGGAGACAATGATCGCGGTCTCTCCTCCCCCGAGGTGCAGCATTGCAATTGTGTAGTTGAACTTTCCAACCTGGATCTAGAGAGGGAGAATGAGGGAGGAAAAGCAGGAGCTGAGCAGCATGTTGCCAAGTGGCTCAGAGGTTGAGCAAGGAGGGACTATGGGTCAGCGCTCATCAGACCTTCGCCCAAGGACGTACCAACCACGCTGGCTCAGTCCACCAGGCTTCATGGGGAGGACTGTGCCTTTCACTGCTGGACCTTGGGGACTTTGTGTGTCTCAAAAGAATCCAATTCCCTTCCTGCATGCTCTGGTGGAAAGGTGAGGCCAGCTTACAGCCTGCTGCAGCACCACAGGAGTGCCCATCCTGGGGCCACCATAGGGCTTTGGTGGCAGAGCCACAGCCCATGTCACGGCCTGACCCCAGAGCACGAGACAACCTGTTCTTAGAGCGCTCACCATACCATATAGTAATGCCTGCACTACTTTTACTAGAAAACCACTTCCACTAATCATCCGACTTTGGTATGCCTCTGAATGGCCTCTGAATCCCAGCTGCCCTCTCCCTTCTCCTTCAAAAGCAGAACTGCTGCCACTCAGGAGAAAGAGGGTAAAGAAGCTTTAAAGTCTTTGAAATACAAATAAAGTAAGGGAATAAAAATAAATAGCAGTGAGACCAGAGACGAGGAATGATCTTGAGGCTAAAGCAGTGGATGGGGTGTCAGGAGGTGCTGGTGCTGCTCCTAACTCATAATTCTTGTGACACTGAGCACAAACCACTTGACCCCAATCCTTCGGTCTCCTGATCACCAGAAGGGAAGAGGCCAACACACATCACAGGCAGGCTGGCGAGTTTACTCGGCGCTGTTTATAAATGGCTCTCCAGGCCCCTGGGATGACAGTGTTCAATAGCATCATCTGATAAGGAAAACTCATGACCACACAAATCTTTCACTTCTGGAAATGTGAGTTTCACTTCCCTCAACAAATGAGAAGTGAAAGAAACTTGAGCAAAAAAAACTCAAATGGGGTAGGGAAGAGATGGAATAATGCTATGACTATCAGTGTGACAGAGCACCTCCAGGAAAGGGACCTGCTGTGGCCAAATTAACATCAGCTCTCAGCAGCTGGGCCAAAGTAGTGTCACAAGCAGGGCTCTTCCACCACGTCCATGCATCAAACACTGCATAATGCACAGTTCCATGTGCTGGGAAATCCCAGCCCTGACTCTAGAGAGCCCTGGTGAGGGCACTGACAGTTGAAGGCAGCTGGACCAGCCTGGAGGTCTGTCCCTGCTGCTCCCTCCACAGCCAAGAGGGGAAGGGCTGCCCTGCCACTGGCAACACCAGCTGCTGTCACCCAGGGTCAGGAAAACCTTCAGCGCCTCCGACCATCAGTGCTGGACCACACAGCCAGGCTCCCGTAGCCCCGAGCCCCAACATGCCCTTGTACCAGCACCCAACAGACGCTGGTGCTGGCAGTTTCTGAGGTGGTGCCATCATTGAGAGCTTTCGGTCCCCTCCCCAGCGTGCGCTGGCTGGGAGCTGAGATGCTGGATGGGGACAGAGACCCACAAGCACCACAGAAGCATCTGTGGGAGTTCATTTGACAGTCTGCACAGCACCCTGCCTAGCCTCAAGATTTCCACCTCTGTCATCTGAAATGCTGCAATGAGGCAAGTCCTCGATGCGTTTTGAGTCTTTTTCCCACCAACTCAACCTTTTGCATTTGCCAGGGGAGAAATCCCACGCTTGCTGTTTAATTCAGTGTTTAAACAGTTTCGTCATGAACAAAAACGGGTTTGAAGGCCTCCGCAAGCTTCTCTTGTTTATTTGGACAGGTCTACTCAATACAATTTGATGTAATGGGAATTAATTAGGCTGCAGGTTAAATGGCACCAGCACACGGCGGGGTGCAGAAGGGGCCAGGGCTGGAGGACACCCCATTCCTGGGAAGAGCTGTTGGGGCTGGTCAGGACTTGTGGGGCATGGGGCCACCTTGGGGGTCACTGGGAACTGCGCTCCAGCTTTGCAGCATCCCAGGGTGTAAATGGGATCCCCTTGGGACTAAACTAGACCAAAATCAAGCTCCATCTCACCTAAGGCTCTCAAAAGTGACCCCCAAGAGACAGGGAGGCTCAGGAGCCCAATCTTCATCACCGGCTCCTTCTCTCTCCAGACAGCTCCTGCTGCCCCGTGTGACTTGCTAATGTGGACCTGGCCCGAGAACACCTTCACAGATCAACAGTGGGACACACCTTACAGGGCTGTTTTCCTGTGCTCTGATCACTGCAGATGTGAGCTCTACCACCTAAGCAAGCACAAACTGGGCAGGCACAACAACAGGCATCTCACCTCACCAGAAGAGAGAATTTGGCTCAGCAGGAGAGGCTCCTGCAGCCCCTGATAGCTGCCCCTGATGCAGATCAGGCAGGGACCACTGCACAAGCCTGGCCCCGTGTTATCAAAGCTATTGCAAGCACGTTACAAAGGCAGCTGTTGCCTATGAAACGGCAGCAGGCGATAAACCACGTATGAAGGTTTAATAAGCGCGCGCAGACGTGAATACAGGTTGATTACTTGGCTGCACTCTCACTGCGGTTACGCTCTTAATAGCTATGTGATACTTTAGGGCTGGGTATCATTCTCCTGCTTCCTAGGGACCTACCAGGGCCTTGCCCTGAATGTTTCATGTCAAACCAAGACTAGAAAACGCATAAATTCCTTTTCTTCCCCAAAGGGATTTCCCTATTTCTCAGTTCTTGCTAAAAACAAAATTACCCTATTTAAAGTTTCCATTAAAATTACTTGGGAAATTCTGCTACTTCTGCATTTCCACAATTCCAGTTTGCAACAGAATTTCATACACCAGACTGTGACCAGTAAACTGGGCAATGCTGTCAGTGAACTGGTGATGCATCTTTGTGCCTTTCTTCTGGGCTGTGCAAGTCCAGAGCTTCAAGTCCCGTGGCAGCCTTCCTCCTCCTCCCTGCCCACGCTGCAGGCTCCCACCCACTCATGATGAATACACGGACTGGGAGGGGGGCTGCAGGGTCTCAGACCATGGAGATGGAGGCATTTTTTCTCCAGATATGACATGCAGTAGTCACATCCCCACATGGCAATG